GCCTACAGTGCTGCAGGTGAGCCATGCGGCGCTTGCACCTGCAGCGGCTACTGTATTACAGCAGGGGGTAAAGTCGGCGCCGCCTTCCTCTGCTGTGTTTCACATAAGGTGGCAGTAGATTAGCTAACAGACGTGCCATCCTTCTTGGGCCGCCAGCGCGAGGACTCGGACGGATTCCATGTGCGCCACGGGAGCAAACACGTCGTCGAAGTCGATTCCTTCCTGCTGGACGAAACCCCGCGCCACCAAGCGCGCCTTGTACTTGGTCACCGCGCCCTGCTCGTCCTTCTTGAGCTTGTAGACCCACTTCAGAGTGATGGGCCAGTGACTGGGAGGAAGCTCCACAAGCTCCCAAGTGCGGTTCTGCTCAACCGCCTTGATCTCCTGCTCCATGGCGGCCTGCCAGGCAGGATCGCCTTCAGCCTCCGCGAAGTTGGCCGGCTCGCCAGCGTGCGTGAGGTGAAGCTTAGTGAAGAGACGTGAAGCCGACAGCGGTGTGGGCACGTCCTCGACGATGTTGGGCATGGTACGGTACCGCAGCTGCTCGCCGTCGAAGGAAGCGTCAAGGCGATCGTTGTCGTCCTCGAGCGGTGACGCGAACTCAACTGGGTCCGCCTGCTCGGTCTCTGCTGCTGGTGAAGCAGAGGTGGCCGGTGGATTGTGCTCCCCTGGAGCTGGTGACGGCGTGCGCGGCGGAGCTCCATCTGCGTCGACTCCCCAGAACTCGATGTCGAAGTCGCTGGAGGCGGAAGCAGACGTCCCGGCGGCCGAATTGGACCAATCCCAGCCGCGCCCTTCATCAAACACCACGTCGCGGCTCACCTTGACGCGTCCTGTCGCCGGATTGAGGACCCGGTAGGCCTTGGCGCCCTCGGCGTAGCCGATGAAGAATTGTTGTAAAAGAGGATAGTTGCGAGGTCCTTTTTGCATAGCCTCTCTCGGAGAATAGTGCTGCAGAACCCGGGTTGATTTGTCTGTAGCGAGGGGGCGTTTTTGCAAAATTGGCAGCGCGCGTGTGGGTCGCCCCGTCGTGGGCCATCTCGCGGTGGGCCGCGTGGTGGTGGGCCACGGAGTGAGAATTCATTTTTCTTTTTCATAAGGAATTAGAAATAGTTTTATATTTTGCATTCTGAGTTGAACTTTGAAAATTAATATCAATTCACATAGGTGTCCAAAAATTGTGAAATAAATTTTGTTGAGTTCCTGAAAATGTTGTGATATGATGGTATGATTAGATGATGCAGGTCTGAGTTGATGCTAAGGCTTATTAAATCATTTGCGAGTGTTTAGTATTATTAAAATTAGTATTTGTAAGAATTTTTGTGGCAAATTGGTAATAGCTTTGACCTTGAAATTTTTACAGTAGATTTATTGTATTATTATGTGCTCGCTGTAATTTTTGTAGCCTTAGAATAGGCTAAGTACTAGCATAGTTAGGTGCTCCTTGTGGTAATATAAGTTAAATCGCTAATAAAAGTAAGATTACATTTTAGTTGCTAAGTTAATAACTGTTAGATGAATCCATACCTGTTTTTGTGGAAATGATAAGTGGTTAGTATCTTAACCATTAGATCTAGCTTAGTGGCTTAGTAGATGTATTCTTATTTTAAGAATTGTTGTTGCCTTAATATTAACGTGTTGCATCATCGCATGCATGTAGAGAACGAATTGGTGGAGTTCGTGGCCATCAGAGATCACGAGTTCGAGGGGGTGATCGAGGAGTATGAGGAGATCCTCGTGCAGGAGGAGGTCCCGGAGCTGCCACTGGCTGACTAAGCTGACACCTCGCCTGCCTAAGTCAAGCCCCAGTGCATAACACTTATTTTGAATAATCACTGAATATATATATATGTGATGTGCATTTACGTTACAGGCATTTTATGGAAACCACCTGCATAAATATATCTGCCCTATGAGTCCTACCAGTATAGGTGCGAGTAGCTGCTATGCTTAGATTTTTTGGTAGCATGAGTAACCTGCCGTTACTCACAATATGTGATTATTATTATTACTCTCATGATTAAATGGTAAAAGGAAATGGAGACCGGACAGGGATATGGTACGGGTATTGGTGGGTGTAATAAGTTGTGTTCCGCGGTCAACGGGGCATAGCTTGGTTATACTGTTTTCTCTGTCCGTGTCGGTTAAGGACCATCCGTTGTGTACTCAGGGTTTATTTACCCCTATTGCAGGTGTAGCTTGAGGAGTGACTGTTGTGTGGAGGATTCTTCTGGCGGGCACAGACAGATCATTGTATCTTATCGTTAGATGTTTATTTTAATTCCTCTGTTTAAATTCTGCACTCTGAACTTGGTATTGTAATAATGTATTTCCGAGAACTCTGGTTGTATGAAATGGACTAAGTATTGTAAGCTCGTTCACATTATTGGATCCTGGATGAAAAACGTGGATTGTTCGAGTTCTCCCTTGGAGTGTGCTTGACGGAACAGTCCGATGTAGCTAACTTTCAGGGTGCTTAGTGTCTGGTGGAAGACGAGCGCCTCCGAAGGTGTGTTATTTCGAGCGGTTTTGCCACAAGATGGATCAAATGGATTAAAGAATTATTCTCCTTAGGATCTTCCTCAATCCTCCTCAATGGAGTTCCAGGCAAGACAATCCAATGCAAAAGAGGGGTAAGGCAAGGAGATCCACTATCTCCATTACTCTTTGTTCTGGTGGCAGATCTCCTTCAATCTGTCCTAAATAGAGCCAAATCCATGAACCTTCTGAACCTGCCATTACCTCTAAGATCATCAGAAGACTTTCCAATAGTCCAATATGTAGATGACACATTAATCATCATGGAAGCATGTAACAGACAGCTGCTAACTCTGAAAGCCCTACTCTACTGCACTCATTTGGTGAATCAACAGGACTAAGGTAAATTATTCAAAATCTATCTTGGTTCCAATCAACACTTCAGAAGACAGACTACAACATCTAGCAAGAACATTCAATTGTGATAAAGGCAGTCTTCCATTCACATACTTGGGACTGCCTTTAAGTCTGACTAAGCCAAGGGTCATTGATTTTTCTCCACTAGTTAGTACATGTGAAAGGAGATTGGCTGCCACCTCAACATTCCTTAATCAAGCTGGAAGATTACAATTGACTAATTCGGTATTTTCAGCATTCCCAACATTTTGCATGAGCACTTTTGCGATCCATCCCACTGTAATTGCCCAGATTGACAAATATAGAAAGCTTTGTCTATGGAGAGGGCAGACATCAATGCTAATCAAAGACCAAAAGCAGCTTGGACAGCAGTATGCAAATCAAAGGAGGAAGGAGGTTCGGGAGTGATAAACATGAAAACTCAAAATGAAGCCTTGCTTCTCAAGCACTTAAATAAGTTCTTTAACAGAGAAGATATTCCATGGGTATCACTGATCTAGGAAAGTTACTATGATTCAGATAACCTACCAACACAGGCGAGAAAAGGATCATTCTGGTGGAGAGATATATTAAAGCTACTAGATAAATTCAAGGGAATGGCAAAGGTGAGCATAAACAATGGAAAATCTTGATATCTTTGGTTGGACCTTTGGGGTAACAGTGCCCATGCAAGAATTTCCAGAACTTTTCTTCTTTGCGAAGTCAAAGACAATCACCTTGGCAAGAGCAAAACAAGCCACTTCTCTGTTAGACCTCTTTCAACTTCCCCTTTCCCAACAGCCTTACTCACAACTACTGCAGCTGGAATTGGATATCCAACAACTAGTGCTAACTGATATGCCTGATCTGTGGACTTTTCTCTGGAGTTCAGGCAAATTTTCTGTTGCAAAAGCCTACAAGCATCTTAGTGGACACAACACTATTCATCCAGGTTTCAAATGGATTTGGCACAGTAATTGTCAAAACAAACATAAGGTGTTTGCCTGGCTCATCATAAAGGACAGGCTGAGTACAAGGGAATTGCTTAGGAGGAAGAACATGGACCTACAAGACTATAACTGTGTCCTTTGCAGTAATGCAGTAGAAGAATCTCTGATGCACCTCATGTTTCTCTGCCCCTTTGCTCAAACTTGTTGGGCATGGCTTAACTGCCATATCTCTCCACAAGCTGACCTTTTTTCAAAACATTGAGAGCTTCAGAGTTCAGTTACAAGTCCCTTTCTTCATAGAAATCATCATCTTAATGGGGTGGTCAATTTGGAAGGCCAGAAATGGACTAATCTTCAATCAGGTGCAACATTCAGTGGAAGACACAAAAGAGCATTCAAATCAGAATTTGTGTTGATTCTTTTACGCCAAAAAAAGAAGCTATTTCCTTCAATTGAACAATGGTTAAACAGTCTTGTTTAATCTATTTAATTTCTCTTTTTTTTTTGTTTCTTTCTTTGTTTCTTGAACTACCTTGTAACCCTATGTTTAAGTTTAATCTATATTTCAATAAAATTCACTGTAGGGGCAATGTTTTCAAGTCGTCCAGTCGAACTTAGTCGCCATGGGACTGACCAGGAGACTAATCGCGATTAGTCGTCGACCAGGTCAATTAGTCGAGCCTAGTCGACCCCTGGTCGTCCTATATATCAGGACATATATACCTACTAAATATATACCTATATATACTATATAGTATACACAATAAAGCAAGCATCAAGACTACATTAGTGTTTAGTCGGTGACTTACTTGTGGGAGTTGTTTTCTTCTCTTTCTACCATGTCTAGAGGTCCATATTCCTATCCCAAACTCCATTTCTTTGTTGACTTGTCAAAAGCCTAAAATACCAAAGAAGACTATAATTAGCAACACTAATGTAGTCTTGATCTTGACACAGACTCAACAAAGAAGACTACTTGCATTAGCAAGCAATCTTGTTGGAGTAGCAAATAACTAGCATTTAGCAGTTAGCACATAGCGTAACCATATAGCAGCCACACACATGACCAAAGATATTACATAACCACACAAGTTCAAGACACATAAGCTAAAGTGTTCAACACAGAGTCACAAACATTGACATTTAACAGTCCAACAAAAGTAGGCAACTAGCCATCTAATTAAGCAAATCAACATTAAAATTGAAGCCTCCATCTCCATCTCCAGTTGGTCCATCTCCAGTTTCAGTTGGTGCAGATTCTTCATCCTCCTCAATTGCTATTGCTGAATCTACATGCTGATCTTGGTCTTCATCATCAACTTCATCAATATCTTGAGTCACTGTGTTCCTTGGACGCTTCTTGTTCCTAGCATAAGTACGCCTCACATTGGGGCAAAGAACAAAGCAGCAGACGAGTAGCAGCAGCCCTAGGCAAGTTACGTCCTCTCGAACTCCGAGTTGCACCAATAGCCTCATCCACAACAGCCCAAGTCATAGCATCGCCACCACCTTCCTGAACTAGTTCGGGTTCACAATTTTCATTGACCCATTCATTTTCTCAATGAAATTCATCAAGCAAGAGTGGATTGCATCTCTTTCCTTTGCAACCCGGCTCTCTAATTTTTTTAAATCTGTTTTCCATCCTGCGGTTGTAACTGACATATACCAACTTATTTAACCTTTAGTGCTCTAATCGATTTCTCTTTTTTGTATGGACCTACACAAAATATAATGCAGAATCACATATCAATATTACTACCATACTTAATTACTCAAAGCAGTAGTACTCTAGCACTTACAAAGCAGAAAATTCACTCCAACTACGCCAGATCAGATGCAAATGCAACAAAGGCTAACAATCCTTTTTGCTAAATATTCTAACCCTAACAGGCCAAACTGCAAGCCCAAGAGTCACGTGTTCGCTTCAGCTTAAACAGCCAAAAACAGAGTAACCAAATTGGTCGTCTCTGTCCTAGTCGGACGACTAATCATGATTTCTGGTCGACTAATCGGACGACCAGCTTTCTGGTCGAGCTAATCATGTCGGACCTCCTAATCGAACACCAGAAACCGATTAGGATGAGTAATCGTGATTAATCGCGATTAATCGGACGACTTGAAAACATTGTGTAGGGGTGTAAACCCCTCCAGTTTCCCTCAAAATAATTATGGTACTAATTGAAATTCTTCCAAGAATTTCTGGTCATGTGAGTTACCTAGAAGAGACCCAACATTTGAAAATCAATGAATGATTATGTAGAGAAGAATATTGCAACTCACCTACCTATACTCCTATAGGACATACGCAGACACATACTTCATTAGCCGATATACTCATTAAATTGAAAGCAAGGACCAATGATGAGACCCTTCGCTCAAAAAAAAATGGGGGACCCAGGAAACAAAATGACACAATGTCTAAAATTGGTGCATAATAACAACTAACAATCATGTGAAAAATGAAGGAGAAGTGAAGTAACCTTAAGACAGAGTAACAAATTTATTAACTGGAATTATAAGCATCTACCCCATCTTTTATCAGTTCTTGCTTCAGTCAGATTACATGAACCGAACAAATATTATTTCCTATGTTATGCATTCATCAAGATCCCTGAACCAAATTAAAGTTGACCAAGATTCAAGAGTGAATAACATCATGGCACAATATAATACAAAATGTTTCTGTATCTACTAGCTATAAGGAGGGACTGTGTATCATTTGAGGACACAGGGTGGATTCTGTGTTATTTCTAAACACTGGGTGACAGGATCGAGCAAGAAAAATCTGATCAAAATATGCAAAAAAATATTTTCCTAGCCACAACATTTCATGAACAAATTGCAAGTGATCCATTATCAACGATGACAGCAATAGTCCCTTTAGAAGTGAACAAATCTAGTCATTAGTCAACACTTGGATATGGTTTCTGGTGTTTTCTAAACCCTGCTGGCTGTACAACAGGCTCGAAATCAGCAAGCAGAATCTGATTTAAACATATACAATCAAGTTTTGTTAGCCATCATGGTTCCATGAAAGAAATGGAAGCAATGTATTATCAACAACGACGACAATTGTCCCCTATAAGTGAAAAACCTAATCAACACTTAATGTGAAGCATGCATGCAACAAACCTCAATAAATGGCAAAATCATGGAGAAAGCAGAAAAAATCTGATGTCCAGCAGTAGAGAAGGTGAGGATAAAGGTGTACCTCCCATTGATTTGGTTGCATGCTTTGAATATGCAGAAATTCCTGAATCTGAAGATACCTCCAAACAGGCAGACAGGCAACTGGTTGCTTGACTGTTGCAACCTTGCCAGTCATCTGAAAAATAAAGTACTCCATATCATTCCATATCTAAAAAGTTAATGTTGAAATGACCATGAATCCCAAATGGATGATTGAAGGCTATAAAGAACATAAGGCCTCACCTCCACCACCTGGCTTGAAGATAGTATGTAAGGATTGACAGATGCAGATGTTCCTGGGGAAGTCATTTCAAGATACTGCATTGTCCTGTCCGAAGCAGAGGATAGAAGAATGTCACATTTTGTTACAGTATGTTGCAATATCTGTAACTTGTAGAATCAGTGTGACAACTGGGATGGGCCAAATAAAGACGCAAAAGTCTGTTTTCCTCTCCATAAGAAAAAAAAGACATGATTGCATTGGGTTTCTTTTATTTCCAGAAACAGGATAAGTAGACTAACCATAAGGGGCACCTTTTCCCACATCAGCCAATTGATTTTTGTCGGGTGCTAGTAGTGGTCTCCCAGTAGAATCAGAAGCAATGACATCAGCTTCGAGGCGATAACCATCTGTTAGCTCAATTTCTGTCATCTGTGAAGGTAAATGAATGAAATCAAAGCGTATTACTAGTTATAAATAACTCCACAGATTAATGCAAACAAAACTGTCATATGTGAATGGGGAAAAATAGGAAGAACGAGAAATTGTTAGAAATCAAACGGGGATCAATCGGGCAGATTAGATTAATGCCACGCCGAGGAGTGCAAGGGAAACAAAACAATCGCAAAAACGAAGCGTCGAATCGGAAAGCGCAAAGGAGAGCAGAAAGAGAACCGCGCTGCCGGCGCCGGCGGCCTCAGGGTCAAGCTTGTCCGCCATCGCCATCCTGGCCGAGTAGAGCGCGCGTGGAGGACCTGAAGATGAAGTGTAATCGAAGGGGCTCTCAAGGTCCGGCGAGGGAGGGAGCAATCTAGGTAGGCGGCGGCGGCGGCTGTAAAGGGCTGGTGTTACCTGTTGGTGGCGGAGGGGAGGAGCCCTCGCTTCGTCGCGTCCTCCTCTTCCTCTTCGCGGGGCTGCCGATCGATTGGATTGGAGACGGAAGGTGGGGGCTTCTCTTGCTTCGCCTACAAGCAAAAGCGAAGCGAAGCGAAGCCAAGGAAATGGAAGGGAAGGGGGGACGAGGGTTCAGGCAGGGTTTAGCCTCGGATGGGCTCAAATCAGTAGGCGGCCCAATGATTTCTTCTTGCACCAAACGGTAAGCCCAGCTAAAAAAAAGGGTCCTATTTATCTCTCGATTAAATTTCTCTAAAAAGAAATCTCTCTTGATTAAATACTGACCTAGACATTCTACTCTCCCGAATGGGCCTGTGGTCCAGTGGTTGGACAGTTTAGTGGGACGCTACCGGCCAGGGTTACCCTGGTGTTCACACCTTTGCTGGAATTTTTCCAGAAATTTTAGGGTACACGCACGCTGCACGTTCGGTGCTACTATGCGTTTCCCACGCACTGAAGGTTGGAGAGCCTCCCAATCTCTTCTTTGCGTGTGTATGAACGTGCACGCGTGTGTGTGCGTGTAGTGTAAGTGTGAAGTGTGTGAGTTATCTACGTCTAAGTTGTACCCGATAAAAAAAACAGTTATTTTTGCTTGCCAACTCAAATCTAAACTGGTTTCATCCGACATGGCGGTGGCATGACAGCCATGTCCCACAACTCTTCCCTTTTTTAATTCTTTTTTTTATAGTATGACACAACAGGCAGGCCATATATATATATATATATATATATATATATATATATATATATATATATATATATATATATATATATATATATATATATATATGCCCATACGTGTAGTTTCGTTATAAATTACCCATGCGAGATCTATGACCAATGCCACCAAAACATAGCTTCTCATAGTAAGGGCATCTCCAACAATAACACCTAAAATACAAGACCAATTCGTCCTTTGGGTAACGCTACAGGCAAAAGGTTCAATACATATTCGACATCTTATCCAACAACAAGACCCAAAAGAGAATCATTTCTGCAAATGAGTTTCTAGGAAAGAGGATGCCTATATTTGGGTTGTGTCTCTCAGGCAACACAAAATAGGTCTCCCGTATAGGTACTCTATTGGAGGCTGATTTTAGGTCTCTTGCTACCTATTTTGGATTTAAGTGCCCGTATGGGTTCCTTATTGGAGACAGTCTAAGCATCCATACCCCTATTCAATGTGCTAAGCATCAACTATACCTAAAGATGGCAACGGGTAAAATCCGCGCGGATACTAGCCTTAGATATCCATACCCGCGAGCAAAAATCCGTGCCCGCGCCCGCGCTCATTAACCGTCACGGGTAGAAAACCATGCCCGTGCCCGCTATCCGCGGATATCACATGCCCGCGGGCACACCCGTATACCCGCAAAAATGAAGCAACAAAGCACCCAACCATATCTTAATAGCAAGTAAGAAACAATATATCAAAAAATAAACGTCTATATCTCAACATTAGATAAAGTATGACACATTAACCATATAAGAGTCATCAAAAGTCTACATTAGTGTATCTCAAGTCATCACAAATTAACACGAATAAAGACATACAACCGTATATAGACTTATAGGGTCATTGGTGCGGGTCTAGCGGGTTTGCGGGTGCGGATATCATTTTTCCATGCCCACGAGCAAATATCCATCGGGTTTAGAATCACACCCATGCCCGTGCCCGTGGGCACAAACTTAAACCCATATCCATGCCCATCGGGTTTTCTATCCGCGGACACGCGGATATTTTGTGCCCGTTGCCATCTTTAACTATACCATGCTAAATTTGACCAAAGAGTAAAGTATACACTATCAGTCCCTAAACTTGTACATTATATGCTATCTTGGTTCCTAAACTTTCAAAACACTCATCTAGGTACCTAAACAACATTTGGATATCATTGTAGTGCTATCGGGTCTCTGTGCTAGCAAATGTTCAGTTTAATTCTTCCTACGTGGGGCAGCATCGTAACTTATGCGGCACTTATTACTGGCTACTCCCTCAATTTTAAATTATAAGACATTTTTGCTTTTTATAGATTTATTGTAAAAGTAATATATTTTTTTGAGTGTCAGCTGGGGTTGGAAAGACTCCCCACCTGATTATTTTTTCATTGATCTAGGCCTTTAGGGCCCATCCCAGTTTACATCATCTGTATATATGAAACCTGCTTCCAAAAACGGGCACCCGATAGTGCCACGTCACCCGCTAACCCATCTACCGTTCGATCTGGCAAACAAGTGAAATCGACCGTCGGATCAGGCTCTTCGCGGGTCTCTACCTTCTACGCCAGTAAATCGGGCCATCGCGAATGCTCACGAACCCGTGGACAGCGGGCTCATCCCTCCGCCTCACGACCGCCGACTACGGGCGTCCCGCCATCCCGGCGTGGGTGGGGCCCCAGAGCACCGCGATCCCGGCGTGGCGGGTGCGAAGAAGCGGTCCCGCCTGGCTACGGTGGTCGTGGCCATCCCGGCGCGAAGCGGAGGCCGCAGCGACCCGGCCCGGCCCGTCCAGCATGGCGTGGCGGCTCACCACCCCGAGCCATCCCGGCAAGCGCAGTACCGCCGCCACAGCGGGCCAGGTGGCGAGGGCCATCGCAGCCCAGCTGCTGGCGCGCCTACGTCCCTACTCCCAACACCACCTCGCCGTCTCCACGGGCACGGCCCCGCTCTACTCCACACCGCTGTCCCCGATCCCTTCCTTCCTCCTCGGATCCGCCGCCATGCCGCCTCCCCCGCACCGCACCCTCGCCTCTAGCCACCCGGCCCACCCGCCGCGCCCCACGAAATGGGTCGCCCCAGGATGCTCGGCGGCGCCGGGCGGCGGCATCGACCCCATCGCCGAGGAGCCCCACCACCACGCGCTCGCGCGCCGGCGGCGGCCTCGGCCTCGGGCCCGACCCGGCGGCCCTCGCCTGCGCGATCTCGGCCGAGGCCAGCGCCGTGCTCGCCGTCATGCGGCGCGGGCTCCGGCACCCGCGCGCCACGGCGGCCGACGACGCCATGGCGGAGCACCCGCTGGTCGCCTCACTCTGCGCGCTCCGGCGAGGAGCGCACCCGCCGCGGCCGCGCTCGGGGACCAGCATGTCTGCACCACAGTCAACACCTGCTTCCGCGTCGTCCACCAGGCCGCGGCCAAGAGCGAGCTCCTGCAGCGGTTCTCGCGCCACGCGATGCACGACCTCATCCGCTGCGTCTTCGCGCGCCTCCCAAAGATACGCAGTGCTGATGGAGTTGACGCTGCTGTCAAACCAGAGGTAAAAAGAGTGCTCGCTCCTGCTATTAATAGTCACTCCTCATGCTTTTTTTGAGCTTATTACAAATGCCAGTCAACCCCGTATCTCACTCTTGACTCGAACAAGTTTACTGGTTAGTATAAGACATTAGTAACATCCAACACACAAAGTAGCATCCTATGAACTGCATTTCACAATTAAGTAGCAAATTCAGGACCATTCCGAGCAGAGCCTTTGGGTTCGCTTATGTAGGTTTAAACTTGCGTGGTAGAAAATGACACGCATGGGATGGAAATTACCTTTCATGCAGTTATTATGTCCAATTGTTAGCTCTTAGAAATCAATGTCTTGATGTAGGTTGCAGTTTTTGAGCCATTCAGATCTGTTATAAACTCTCTTAGCGATGCCTCTTTAGTTCCTCGCATAGAATGAAAATTGCAAATGAAACTGTATCGTACAAACAGTGAGGTAGATCTCAGAGGCTGAGAAATGGTGATTGTTTATCTTTTATGCTTGATAAAATGTACAAACAAGCTAAATCCGACAATGTTGCTGCTGCATATATGGCCATGTTTTAGTTTTTGCCACAAGTTTTGGAAGAAGCATCTTCGTCCTTGAACTCTTTAAAGTATCCCCCTAATGAGAGCCAAAATCAGCTGATTTGAGAAACATGCTTCAATATTCAGTCAGGTGCTCCTAAGCTAATAATCCCATCAGGTCAACTCTGCTAACATGACAAATGTTTATAAATTGACATCACCACTGCAAGGGCGTTGTGTATTTTGCGAATGTAGCTTTCCTCAGCCAACTACACGCACAATTGATGTGGCATTGCTGCAACTGCAACACAGTTAGCCATGTGCCAATGCTGCAGCATTCTTGGCCCCCTTTCATCTTTGAGCTCCATCCAATAGTGTGCATAACTACCCCTGTTTCAAAGGTGTCGCCTAGGTGTCTAACCGTACCCAGCTCGCCTTGGGGAATAGTGCTGCCTTATCGCCTAGGCGTCCAGGCACACCCAGCTCTCGCCCGGACACCTAGTCACTTTGAAATCATGATAGCTACTGGCACTGCAACTCTGCCAGCTCACTACCAATTGACTTTCTATGTGTGGTTGTCATAGGAGAGCAAGGTCATGCAGGTTTTAGTTTAGTGAAATCTTTTTATGCATTTCAACTTTCAACTAGCTTGTTGAATTTCCAATTGAAATCTTGTTCAGGCCATGGATATTGATGTTTATAGCTAAAATTAGGAACACACAGAGATTGCTTCATCCAGATAGTGAAATAAGTAAGTTAGTTTTACAGTTAAGTAACCCAATTGATACTTGTATATATGTGTGCATATATCTGAGTTTTATCCAGGTGGAACAAAAACAAACATGGTCTCGGTCTAGCCCCTAATAAAGGTTTCGCTCATTTGAGTATCAAAAAGGGCTTTTAGATGTTGCCAAGTACAGTATTATTGCATGTGCAATGTGCTAACATTTTTGCTCGTTGGAAAAGGTTTATTGATTGTTTTTTGAATGTTATGGACAGATGGGTGGCATGGATGTGAATCATCCTTTTGGTATCAGGCAAATGGAAAATGGCAATGGAA